TATAAAATGTTGAATATAAATATATGTTGTTGAACATAAATATAAGTTGTTGAATATGAAGGTCCAAGTTGTTGAATTTTGCAACATTTGGCTAACCATGTATTTACATATTTTTATCGCTTTTCAATTTCTCATGTCGTATTTTACTCATATATACGAAAAATTTTAATCACTTTTTTAAACTTAAAAATGATCTTAGCGAGATCGAAACGCCATTTGATTTTATCTCTAGTTTTATCCTGAAATGTGTTTCAAAGAAACTACTTATTAGTATTCCTTTTTTGCTGGTTTATTATAATGATAATGAGCTGCGTAATAATAGCCGTTATGATAAGCTATATTTGTCATGTCATCCTCAGCCCAGTGTGGAAATTTGAATATTTTGTTTAACACATGTCCTGGGAATTTTCTAAATGTAGCTTTAAAAGTACATGTATTAAAGTTCAGGCAGCATTTTAAATTCACAATCATGTTTGAACATTAAAGTTTTAATGATTTAGGCAAGGCAGTTTTAACGCCAGACAGTTCATTTACTCAACTTAACTCTTCAAATAATTTGTATTCCTCTATTTTGTCTGCAGAATTTTTGATTCAGAGACATATCAGAAGGAGGAGCTAACCATTTTTCATTCTTCATTAATTGAGGATGCTCTCACAAATGGCAAGAGTTTTTTAAGTGGCAAACATGCAGGAACTTATATTCTAATTCATCCTGCATATCAGAAAGGTAAAACGTTTTTACTGGGAAAATTGATGTGAAGCAACTGAATCAATTTTTTATGATTTTCACCGTGTCAGCAATCACAGTAACCATCACTTCCAATCTAGTGTTTTGTCCAGAAATATGTGAAACATTTAACAGGGTAGTTTTAAATTGTTGAAGTTCTACTTAATCCTTAATTAAAAAAACAGAGAAACCTTTTTCCCCCCTACATTGTAACACATACCAGTACTTGAAGTATAAACCTTAGAACAGATGAGATCTTTCCACTCAGCATACATCGTATTTTAAGAAGTGACGTTGGGGCAACCCTAAAGGCCGGAAAGTCATAATTGTGGAAAATCTCCGGAAATCCTAAAAGATGGAATGACAGAAAATCACCCGAAATCCTAAAGGACAGAATGAGGGAAGTCACCCGAAATCCCGCTCTAAAAGGCTAATGCTAAAAGCCACAGATCTGGGAAAAATTGCCTCCCTCCTTCCCCCAGTCCTCCCCAAAAAAGAGTTAAATAATAATTTCTTGTTAATGTGAAGAATTTGTTTTCCTTTACATTTCAAATAATGAGCACTGATTCTCAATAGCATTTGCAGAGTGATACAATCCAGCTTCTCTATGTAAGTGACATTAAGCTCACCCAGCCCCTTTTTGAGTGCAGTTTTTTTCTGCATGAATACAAATTCTGTGGAAATTAAATCAATACCCAAAAAGGCATCTTTGCTCAATGAGTAAATTTGAAGGGCGTAGCTAAGGAGGGGGGGGTGCTGGGGTGCTTGTGACCCCCTCTTTTGTGAGCCTTTTTTAAGCAAACAACCTACAACAGATGGTGAAAACAACATGACAATCTGGTGAGTTCCCTCACTTTGACACAGTGTGACCCCCCCCCCTTAAAATATCCTGGCTATGCCCCTGAATTTTTGGGAAAATAAATTATGCTACAGTTGCTTACTCTAAAGTGAAAATAATGTTGACCTAAAATTAATTGGAAATAATCTCAACAGGAACTGGGTTTATCACGAACTGTCAATGTAAACCGTGTTCACAAAAGTTGATGTTTTGTTACCAAACCTTAACAATGAATGACTTTTAGGGAAAAACTATGCACCAGTTGCTTACGCAAAAAAAACTGAGGCGTTTCTAATAAGATTTCTTTTCTGCCACTGTAAATCAAACCAAGCTGAGTTTGGGCATTTAATGTAATTATGGCCCGTGGCCATGATTGCAAGTAATGAACAGGCTACCGTAAACTGAACTCGCCTCTTAAAGGCTGAAGATGGACATCATCCATCACCTCCTTGTCAGCTTCCGTTGCTTCTACCAACGGATAATATTTTTTGCTGAGGGCATTGTGAATGTAAGACAACTTTGGGTGATAATGCACTGGCTCTGGCTTGATGGACATCCTAACAGCTTATTAACTCCTCATTGTGATTAGGGATTGGCCAGTCATGCAAGAACAAAGTCCGAAGGTGGTGGAGGAACTACATGTGTCATGAGTTGGTTTCGGTGATGTAGGAACTCTCTCTGTGTACTCACCAGTCAAATGCTTGGTTTGAAAGATGCAATTTTATTGCTACACAGGAATCAGTGCTCAGTAGTTGAAATCTAAGACAGGATTTATAGTTCCGTCTTTTAAGATTTGGTGTGACTTTCCACTGTTCTGACTTTGGGTGACTTTCGGTCATTCCATCTTTTAGGATTCCGGGTGATTTTCTGCCATTCCGTCATTCTGCCTTTTAGGATTTTGGGAGATATTCTGCCGTTCTATCATTTCACTGTTCTGTCCTTCTGGCTTTTAGGGTTGCCCGTGACATTGGCATTTTTGGGTAGTCAGTCATACTTTGCTTTTGTAAAACACTTGTTTCCATCACTCATTCACACTCATATTTAGGGCCTGCTTCATGATAATGTACACGTCACTCAGTGCTGAAAGCTGTGTGGGATGATTTTCAGTTTTCTTGTGCACCTTTATAGCAGATCTCTGTCTCTGAAAATTTCATTATCCTTCCTTTGTCACTCTGTAGGGGACACACACACCTTCAGTTGCTCCTTTATTTCAGGGAGGATCTCAAACAAGTCATTGCACTACTGAATAGTTAAGAAGGGCTTTTACAAATGCAAGGAATCAGGTTATTTTAGTTGAGCAAGGAAATAATTTTCAACAAAGATATTATTTTTAGTATTTCTTTTAAATGAGATTACAGTCATTCAACTCTCTCTAAGCAGACACCACTGTAAGTTAGGCATCTTTCCAGAGCTAGAAATAAAGTTTTTTATCAAGGAGACAGCTGGCAACTACAGTAATACCAAAAGTTTGGTTGCCAGATTGTAATTTTTGGTCACCATTTATTATTTTTTTTCACTGATTTTTTTTCTTCTTCAGTATTTTCCTCATGTACACAATCTTCAACATAATTATAAGTTTATGTTCAAAGAAGCTTGTATGATCTGGTAAAATTTTAAAGAATAACACCTAAAAACATCATTGCAAAATAATGATCAATATGAAAGCTACTTCAGTTACGCTTTCGGTGTTTCCTCTTCTCCCTCATCTTGTTTCACATCTGTGTAATGTTTGGCAATAAGCTACATGGACCTTTGTCAAGAGACATACTGGAATTTGTCCCCTGCTCTGCCACATTGTTTGCAGTCATACCAGACTCTGTGCATGCATTGTTTAGTGAGCCCACAATACCTCTTAATAAAGAAGCTGCTGAATCAAACATGGTGCTTTAGTCAGTGATTGAACAATGGTGGGTTTGTTTTGGTAAATCTATTTGCATGAATCATATCTTTCACCCCTTATTTAGTATGCTGGACAAAACTGTTCTGGATTGACATTTTACAGCAAAAAATTAAAATAAACATAGTGACACAAATAATGTTGTGATTGTCTTAAACTTTACTAAATTCTACACATGGAAACTTATTTTTATATGGATCACGCATGGAAGGCTTGTGTTACACCTTGTCCAAATTTGGTAACTGAGTCACAAAAGTATTCAAAATTGTGTGATTTCTGAGAAAAATGAGTCACATTTGCAGTGTTGTTTTGCGAAGGAACTCTTTACATGGCGGTGGATTTTTTGGTCACAATTTTGACAAGAAAGCATGAGAAAGACTTACAACTTATTTGGCCACTGAAATACAATATGATCGTAGAACTCAAGTCTTCAAACTGCTCTTGCCACTAGAGCGGTCTTGCGCCTGTTTTGAAGATGGCTGCCTTTTATCATGCTTTGTACAAGCCACAATTGCACAAAATACTGCTGTGTTAAGGTGTTGTCAGCTGAGAACATCAGGCACTGCTATTTGTGCTTTTTGGAAAATTAACGGACCTGTTTCTGGGCCCACTTACCAGTAGCTTGCCATTTTCTCGGATTTTCTTGCATAACAGCTTGGAATAACTTTGTTTGGTTTGCTTTGTGGCCCTTCAGTAATAGCATCACCATGTGAATCTTTAATTCTCTAAACTGCTGATGTATCACAGGATCATTATAGTGCTGTTTTTAATGGATTATCGCTCCCTCGTCATGCCATCTCGTCAAATTCATGAAGATATCCACAAGCACATAACGATGTTCTTCGCACAACAACACTGGTCTAACACTAATATCTTGGAACTCGCGCAATTTTCCATACCTTTGTGATTCAGTCCACAAATTTAGATACACTTAATGCAAGCCTTCATTGCGTGATCTATATGAAAATAATTTTCCATGTGTGGAATTTAATAAGGTTTAAGACAATCAAAAAATCATTTGCATCAACTTGCTTGTGTTAATTATTTGTTTTAAAATGTCAATCCAGAACAGTTTTGCCCAGCGTACTAGTGAGGTCAATTTTCTGATGAGGTTAAAAGGTTGACAGAATTAAGAAAAGGTGAGTCACCAACTGGTGACGAGTTTTTAATATCTGGCCGCCAACACTCAATTTTTGGTTGCATTGGCAACCAATGAGTCACAATTTCGAGCCCCGCCTTCTAAGAGAGTGATGTCTTGTCCAGGCCAAACTACTTGTATTCTTCTGTAACGTACTTGTATCTCTCTATTAAGGAAGACATTTCTTCAAGCTGGACAGCAAATGCTTTTTAGCAAAATTCAGGTTAAAAATAGATCAGTGAAGGTCGAGGTACACAAGACCTCAAGATTCTTGTTCAGATGTTCTCTGTTCCTGGCTAATGTTCGTGACACTCCTGTTCATCTACATTCCCTTACCTGATGGTGTTTTTTTTTCCTTGTCTCCCTTGCAATGGGCTTTACTTGCACTGCAGCATCTGTTGTGTACATCATGCACCTTCCTGTTGCTGGTTTTAGGGCACCAGGCACCTGACCTTACACCCTCATAATATGAAATGGCAGTCCTGCAACGAGCCCATTGTTAATAGGGATTTGACTAATAAGTGATGCTTTATCAGACAGGGCTATCATTATTTTGAGTCTACTGTTGTCTTAGTCCTCACACCCATAACAAACTTGTTACTTTGTGTGGTGAATGTATCATCAATAGGCAATTCAAGGGTCCATCAAGCTTACTAAGCCATAACACTGGTACTATGGGTTACAGCCTTTAATACCAGCTCTGTGAGATGCTGACCATGATAAGGGCATTATTTTTCTAGACCTGTGGGCACCTGTCTCCAACCCCTCCCCTCTGGCCATACATAACCCATTTTGAGACACCATGTTTCAAGGGTTGATGAACCATTCATGACCTTCAAGAATAAATAACAGTTGATGGATCCATTTTGTTTAAAAGGATTCAGAATGTGGTATTATTGACAATAATATTACTGCAAAAATAAAGAGAAAAGTTACATTAAAATTATTGCCGACATTCTATAACCTTAAATCTGAAAGTAAACCTACAGTGAAATCTCAAATCAATAGTTCTCTTGAGTTTTTGAACCTCCAAATTTTTAAAAGTAGTTTCCATCGTCCTATGTTGGTTGAAAAATTGAGATTTCATTGTGAGTAGTCACTTTTTGTTGTTTCTTTTAGAAATTGAAAGTTTTCATAAGGAGCAATGCTTGCAAAGTAATGTGAAACTCACCAAAAATGAAGATGGCACAGAAAGTTATCCTAATACATGTAGGAGTTACAGAGACAAGGTAAACAGTTTCTCATTACCAGTTTATTGTGATACTTCGCATCAATTTTTACTCAGACAATTGCTACCTAAAACAAAGAGAATTAAAAGGAAGCGTGAGCTTATAAGTCATGTCTGAACAGCACAGCATTCATTCATAATCTGAAATGGAAATTAATGCTTCATATCGTTCAGTAATCGTTCAATGAGACATATAATAGTGTATCGACCTCCATATTCTTCGTTGCATCCGGTTTCTGCCTCTGTTTTCTTTGATGAATTCTCTCAGTTTTTAGAGAATGTTGTTATGTGTCCCGAGGTTCTTGTTATCTCTGGAGACTTCAACCTTCATTTAGATGACCTC